TTGAGACTTCCTCAGCAACTTGATAGTTATGTTCATAAGTCAGACACATAGAACACATATAGTATATTATGTTCGAAAAGTTATAGTAGAATAACGTTTTTTAAAAATTGACTCTATATATAAGATAGTGAAAACTTATGACTGTAATAAAAATGATGTTATATTGACTTATGAACATAACTATCAAGTTGCTGAGGAAGTCTCAAATAGAGACGAAACGTTCCACGGATAAATGTAGTGTTCATCTTAATTAAACTCGTCCAAAAAACAACCTCCCTAAGAGTAAACTTAGTAATAATATTAATAAATTTTGGATAAGAAAAAAAATCTTGATTATATTAACATTTGTTTTAATGTTCCTGCGCAGTGATGACTACGAGGAGGTGGGGTAAAATTTTCATCTAATAAAACATGAAATCGAAATTAATTAATATTCAAAGTACGTTAAAAAGTATGTAATGTTTAAATAAATGTATATACGTTTAAACAATCTTAAATGTAAGTAAAAAACAGTAGAATATTAAAATAATTGTTAACTAATCGAAAAAAATGTATATTGCAATTTAGAAGCACTGAGTATATGTTCGGAGTACTGTCCTCCTCGAAATTCACTTTCAGACTGGCACGTTATTGTTTATGAAAGTACTTTTATTAAATGTTGTTTATATGACTTTCCATATAAGGAAATTTTATTTATTACGAATATTATTCCCGTTGCACACATGCGCAACGTTATAGGAAAGTCATGTAAACAACATTTAATAAAAGTAATTTTACAGAGGACAATGACTCATTTCAACGGTAGATTTCGAAGAGGACAGTACATAGATCATATTCTCCGAGCTTTTTAACAATAATAGACATTTCTATCGATTAATTAACAATTATTTTAATACTTTAATACACTTTCCTTATATTTTATATTGTTTAAACATATATGTACTAGTATAAGCATTACATACTTATTAACATAATTTAAATATTAAATGATTTCGATGTGATATTTTTTTCGATGAAAATTTCCCCCTCCGAAGTCACCACTGCACGGAAATAAGTGCATAAAAGTGAAGATATTCGTCGTACATACCCACGAAACAAATTTTCTCGTCATACACTTCATTTTATAAATGCAGACTTCTCACACGTACACGGGTTTTTCAAATTGTTAGATTTAACAACTAATCGTTGAGATTATTTTCTATTTGAACGTCTTAAATGATTAAAATAAGAATATATGTATAAGTACATTTCTGAAGGCACACACACACACATGTTTATACATTAAAAATTAAATATAATTATTTAAAATTCTCGTACAATATAACTATACTATAAAGAATACTGTATTCTTCCGTCATCGCGTTAAGTACCTAGTATCGCCCACTTGTGTTCCCGGTAGTAATTAAATGAAACTGGGTGGATAAAAAAGGCGACTTGTAAGCTTCTATATACATCTGCATTCTTTGACAACGTCATGACATTTTCTTACAATTTTTTTACATTTTGAGAGTTTTTAGATCATTTAAAAATCATAATGTGCAGGTATATTTAAATATGTTTTTCTCTACTATAAAAAATATAAAAAATAAAAAAAATTCATACTTATTTCATAAGAATTTATGACGACTTTGAAAGAATAAAAAAATGGACTTAACAACTTTTTTCAAACCAATTAACGTATACGATAACACACATTTTTTATATCATTAAAAATCAAGGAAATATTTCAATGGACCTCATTCAACTAAAATATCCTATATACAGTCAATCAAATAGTATTTAATAACAATGTTTAAAAAAAACGATGTATTTTTTTTCTTTTATAAAAGAATTACCATTGAAAGTAACAACATAAAAATATATATATATATATATAATTGGTAGCTAGAAGTTTAATGTGATAAATGAAATGTGAATAATTATCTGAATGATACTCGCTTATTTAAATAATTTAATAGTAGATGACTCTATAGAATCGCATTTTGCGCCTACTCATCGAATTTAGACTGAAACAAGGACGCATGCGTGGCAGGTTCGTCGACTGGTAATAATTATATAGAAAACACATATGTTGCAAGGATCCACTCTGTCAACTTGAATTGACGGTATACGTAATCCTCTTAAAAATTTGTGAAAGAATGTATATAATTAAGTAACCATAAACATCCGCAGGGCATTCGGCCTCAAAGATACAAAATAATAATATTCTTGATAATAATTAAACAATAATTTTTCTTGAGGTTATAGAGAAAAAAGAAGAAATAGGACAATTGTATAAATTCATTCGATTTGACTTGTATTTGAAAAAAGAAAAAAAACAGAAAAAAGGAAGAAAAAGTAGAAACGGATGACGTAATGGTCTCCCCCTTTTCCATTTATTCGCTCTTGACTAGAGCCGGTACTGGCGTCGAAGTCTAACAGCTATGCAGAATGACGAAAGCGGCCGGTGAACGAGGACGGTTTCAACTAAAGTGGGATTTCTCTTATATAATAGACATATTTTAACATCATTAATCGTTTATGTTGAAATATTATATATTTATAACTACATCGTTTATTATTATTTTGTCGTTTAGTTAAGGGAAATAAGTGATCAAATAACTGGATATTCATTTATTGATACCCAAACCGGTGTGTCGTCTCTGTCGTTTATCGACAACACCTCGACCAATCATATACGCGCTATCCTCGTTGAAAAAATCGATCTGTATTGTGGCGGACGGCAAAGTAGGGAGGAAGAATCATGAGGAATCGTTATACCTTACATCTTCCCTAAAACTCAACGAGTTAACAAGTCTAACGTATTATTTAATTTTATTTTTATTTTGTTAGATTTTTCGTAAAGATTTTCTCTTAAAGGCAAATCAAACGTTCTTATTACGCGCGCGTGCGCGCATATTTATTTTTTAATCTTATTGAAGAAAGTATTTCAAAATGGGCGGCAACGATGTTGGAAGAAGCGTTTTCACTTACGATACTTTGGTACACGCATTGTCAGGCGCAGCAGTAAGTATCGATTTATTTGATTACTCGATAATTATTTCATTTAAGTAATATACGGATTAATAATTAATATGCGAAGTGATTTATTTTCTTTATTTTTATTCATTTCATTTATTATTTAGGGTAGCGTCATCGCCATGGCAACCTTTTTCCCGCTGGACACTGTCAGAAGCCGACTCCAACGTGAGATTTTTCATTCGTTATTCATTTTTTCATATTAATTATATCCGTTCAAATGTCAGGCAAAAGTGAAAAAAAAAAAACAATAATATCTACGTATATATGTTAAAAATTATTATTTTTTTATTTTCGACACGGACTCCGTTTATCTTACATTTTTTTATATGACGTTTTTGATAACTCGGCTCGAACAAATGAGTGTTAAACTATTTGACAAAATCTAATCTTCCATTTTAAAATGTGTTCGTACGTTTTTATTTATATTTAAGTATTCGCTCGCGTAACGCATGTGTAAAACTAGGACGTGTGAAAAATTACGCCAAACATACAATGCACAATATTTCAATCGTGAATATCATACAAATATAATCGCGATAGATCGATCTCCGAACTTTTTTTAGGTCAATAATTATCCACACGCCACATAGTATATATTAAGAGGATTATTATTTGAAATAGGTTATTGTATAGAGACAATGAATATAAATTCCTTGCATAATTTTAATTATAATCTATCGTTAATCTTTGAACTCTGTTTTTTTTGTTCAATATTGTTGCATATCTACGTGTAACAAATATAATCTATTACTATTATTAATATTATAATATTTATACTATGTATATGTAAGGTGTCCTAAAAGTCATATTACCGAAATAAAAAATTCAAAATTTAGATTGGCAGGTAATTTGAAGAACGGTAACGTGAGTTCGTATTTTTTTTTTTTTAACAGAGTACTAAATACAATCTTGTTACTCTATTAATAAGCCAATATTGATGTTTTCTATTTTCGTCTGGGTAAAGCGACTTGTGGAATATTTTCTATATTAATAAATACAAATTATATCCCACAGCAGAAAATTATATCCAACCTGACGGAATAGTTTAATAATTACAAGGATAATAATCTCATAATTGTCACCTTTCGTGTTAAATAAGAATTCAAAACGTTCAAATATATAATCGAATGTATGCGAAGATATGCAATATTAAATGCTAATTACTCGAGATTGTTTTTTTCGAAATATTTACAGTTGAGGAAAATCGAGAAGCGAAGAATACGCTAACGATGATACGTGAATTGACTTCGAAAGAAGGACCGTAAGTTGCCATAACTAATTATCAAATGTATTTCCATGTTAGACGTCAAATGTAATATCTCTCTGTCCCATATTATCTTTAATAAAAAGTTCAACAAAAAAGTCTCACACAATGTCGTTTATATTTCAAATAATATTCATTGTTAACTTTAATATTTATCACTCAGGCATACGCTGTATCGAGGAATGGTGCCAGTTCTTCAAAGTCTTTGTGCCAGTAATTTCGTTTATTTCTACACATTTCATGGATTAAAAATGTTGAGAAGTAGGAGAAATCAAACAGCTGGAAACGATCTGTTGGTCGCATCGATCGCAGGTGCAATTTCGAATTGTTTCCTTTTTAAACACGATTTGTTTTCACGATCAATAAATAATAAATTAAACACACACACAAAAACGAAAAGGATTAATATTATTTTAAACGCATACACAACTATTTTCGCAGGTGTGATAAACGTGCTGACAACGACACCACTTTGGGTTGTTAATACGAGATTGAAAATGAAAGGGATCAATAGTGTTAACGAGAAAAACAATAACGATTATAACACGTTGTACGGTAAGTAAAATATAAAATGTTTTTATACTTTATGACGTATATAAATATTATAATAATGTACTCACTCTTCTAATATGCAGAAATAAAAAAAGATTCATTCACGCTCTTGTGCATATTTATGTTGCATAAAATGTTAGTTTTCCAATCACTTGAAACAAATGACGAAGAAAATAATTCAACGACGTACTTTTCTACCACATTTTTTTCTTTCTCGTTTGCTTTATTTCAGATGGTCTTTTCCATATATGGAAATATGAAGGAATAGAAAAATTATGGGCAGGTACGTTACCAAGTCTCCTTCTCGTAGCAAATCCAGCTATTCAATTCATGACATACGAGAGTATTAAAAGAAGAGTTAATGCTTCTTCTGGTATTCAACCATCAGCTTGGGTCTTTTTTGCTATTGGTGCGATCGCTAAAACGGTCGCCACGACATTAACTTATCCTTTACAATTAATACAAACGAAATTGAGGGTAAATAATATCAAATTATTCAAAAATAAATCTAATTTCAATTACGTAGGCATTTATGTACGTTTTTTTTGTGTTTTTTTTTAGCACGGATACAAGTATCCCGATTTACCGCCGAATGCTGGAACTATTCAAATTCTATTTTACATTTTAAAGTATGATCTATATTTTTCAATAAATTATCCAATCATTTATTAAATTAATATAACATCGTCCAAATGTTCGTTTATTTTTTTGTAGAAAACAAGGCTTACTTGGTTTATACAAAGGAATGGAAGCTAAACTATTGCAGACTGTTTTAACAGCGGCGTTGATGTTTTTAACTTATGAAAAAATATCAAGATTCGTATTTCGCATTCTTCTTCATAGACCTGTTGTCAGATAACGATATGATTAAACGCCTAAAGATTATATTTAAATATAAATGAATTACCAAAATTTAAATAAATATACAATTAATGCAAATTTTTTATTTCCTTCCGTGTTGCATCATTTTCGTATTAGTTTAATTTATTTGTTATAAATATAATTTTCACATTAAACTCATTAAATATGTAATTAAGGTATGCTAATGTATTTATTTCTAAATTTTCTTCATTTCAAGCACGCTGTATCAATTGTTTTCAAGGAAAAATCTCGTAAGCGTAAAGGTATACGATTTTAAGGGGCACTCATTATATATTTCTATAGAAAATTATAATACGCATATATAATTATAAAATTAGAGAGTATAATCGCATCGGCGATGTAGTTACGAATAAACCATCGTTGTTTTTCAAGATGACAATACAAAAAGAAAAAAAGTCGTCCAACCACGATTAACCACGATTTCGCGAAGATTCGGAACATGTGAACGCTTATATTTAAAATAAAAATACTGGCGAATTTAAGCAAAACGCCTTTGAACGTTCAATCAAATATCGATTATAAATTGAATTATTTAGTGTCGTCTCTTTCCCCAACAAATAAAAGTATTTCAAAATGGCTAAGTGAGGAAGCAAATTTTACGGAACCTTTAGATAATACTAATTGTACACTTGCGAAGATTCATCGCAAAAGGTTTAAAAGTGTACTCAAATTTTGGAGTAAATTGAAAATTCGAAAAGATTCAAAGAAACGATTTAACACAAATTCCGTATCCTCCAGGTATATCAAGATTTTCTAATAAAAATCATTTCAAATCACGTACTTCATTTTCCTTATCATTTTCTAAAGTTGGAATCTTCGTCATGCCGGGGAAACGATGAATACGCAAGTTCGAAATGAAATTCCGAAAACAAAGAAACAAATCTCGTCCCGTCAAAACAACAGTGCTAAAAATAAACAGAATATTAAAATCAAGCCAGTTATCACGTACGATTATGATGCGGTTATTAGTCAACCAGATGTACCCAATTTTTTCGGACAAAAATGCAACACCGGTGTACCAATACGAAAGAAATGTTTTTATACGCGTGGAAAAAGTAAATCGTCGAGTAAAAAAATGTCAGAAACCGAGTCAGAAACAACTTCTAATTCAAAATATCAAGACAAGGAAAATGAAACCATCGTTACTATTCCTGATGAAGAAGCTGCGGAAAACGAAACTACTCCTATTGAGGACGAGTCGACGCCAATTTTTTCTAAGGTTTGAACAAGTTTTTCTTTTCATCGATCAACCGCGCGATTTTCAGATAAAATATATTTTTCCTCCGTGTGTATAGAAATATTTGTCGAGAAATGACGTACAAAAGAAGAATGCGCAAAAAAACGATTTTGAAGATAAAGACAAAAGTGAAAATGACCAAAATTTCGATAATGTGACTCCTCGATCGTTAGCATTGCAAAAAAAAGAAAGTAAAATTCCTCGAGCAAAATCGGCCAAATCACCGGCCATTATTCAAATATCTCGTAATGAATCCGTGCAAAGATTATCCGTAACAACTTCGAAAAAATCGCTTGATACGATTTCACATGCGAAAGATATGAAGTAAATTTATTAAATGCACGATTGTTGAAAGTAAATCTCTTTCGAAATAATGATATTAACTTATTAAATATTCATAGGTGCATTTTGAGAAAAGAACAAAACTCATTTACATTTTTAAACGATGAACAGGACGGAAATGACGAGACAATTATTACAGAAACAACTCCTGCTGTTATTGGTAGTGCTAGTGATCCTTCAACCTTTACAGTTTTACAAAGGTTAAAACAGAGTCAAAATTATCGATCTTGCAATAATTATAATCCTGAATTATCCAGTTATCGAGATATTGACGATACACTGAGCGATTCGAGAAGTTCACCGGAAAGAAAATACATTTCGAAAAAATGGCGAAGGTAAGAATAATTTCTAATTTATTTTTTGAAAAAAAAGAAAGAAATGTAATTTAATTTTAAAGAAAGTTTGTTTTCCAATTGAAAAGATTTAGTTTTATTTTTTAATTGAATTGATTTTATTTGATTGAATTTAATTTAGATCTTTGAAACATCGCAAGTATATAGACACAAGCTCCGACGATTTTGACGTATCGTCGGATTATAGTTCCCAGAGCAGTGAGAAAAGAATACAAAATCGTAGAAATGTTCCCAATTCAGTCTCACCATTAGCAAAATCTTCCTTGGCAACTAAATCATCGTCGAGAGCTCAAAATCAACGTGGAAATACATTTTCCTTTTTCAACGCTCTTTTCGATATCGTTTTTTGGCCTTTTCTTTTCCTCAAGTCGGATCGATGATTTCGACAAATTTATTCTAAAAATAAAAAAATACAAGTTCATCGTAAATAATATTATTGTAATCAATATATCGTCGTGGGTCTTACGTTGCATAAATGCAGCATTACGTTTTGATGATGCAGATAAATATGTATATATCATCTCAAATATTTGATATATTTCTTATAATTATATTTCCTATTATTCTCTTATTTATGGATAATATTTGTTTGTTATATATTTAATAATTTCTCTATCAATTTTAAATAACGAATCAGAAAGTAACATTTCAGTGTATCAAATTTATATACACGCACGAGAAAATAAATTTTATGAAAAATTCATGGGCTTTTATTCACAGAATGTAAAAGAATATCATGGCACGCCGATTTCTGAAAGAGATGCATTGATTAACAATTTCTTAATTATTATAAAAGAAAAAGAAGAATTAGTATCTGTGCGACAAATATGATTTACCTTTATCCATGGGTGCTGTCTCATTAAATTGAAACTTTTTTGAGAAACGCGTGGATGTTAAGCTCTCATAAAGTTGTTCGATTTCATAAACAGTGTTTTCTAATATTTTGGAAAAAACTTTGTCGTTCTTTACCAAAGCTTTGTCAGCGACTATCGACAAATGCACTTGTTCGTTATAACTGAAGAGAGAAAATCCGATGCCTGTGTTACTTCTGCAAATTTTTTTATATATGATCAATAAAATAAAATTAAACTTAATCCGTAAAAGATGATCGTAAAGTCTTCATTAAAATTCCAAATTTTACTTGTTCGGTATCCAAAAAATAATATTTTTCACAGAATATCCCAGAATTCGTACTTCTTGACACCCAGGTAAATTGCTAAAAATCATCGTACTATGACTCTCTATCAAAGGTTTCAATAGTATTTCTGGTAATACAGCTGAGAGAAACTTCATTGTCCAAAAATTAATCGTATAATCTAAATCTGTTTGTAGTTTGTTATTATTTTTCATTATATCTTGTAGACGTTCGATAGTTCTCGAGTCTTCGTCTAAATTCGAATATACTTTGCCATTTATCTCGGAAATGCACAAAGGAAGTAGGCCAACCGAGATATCATTGGACAATTGAACTTGTTCCTTTGGATTTCCCATTTTAGCTGGCAGTACAACGGTCAGTGAATTAGGTGGAACTTCGTTGATCTGCGTGTTCGTTTTGAAAATATCAAATATTAAATAACACTTATCACAGAAAGATTTATCAAAATTAGCAAAGGATCTATACGCACGCGTAAAAAATATTTATGCACACTGGAGGACAAAGCTGCTAAAAATATTTCTACAAATCTTGCCCCAGTAATATGTTTTATTTCTTTGATCTTTGTTATAAGCTTTTGTTGATTGGAATTTCTGTAATCATCTTCCGACCAATAAGTAACTATTTTCTTTCCCGTTAATTTAGACCCGTGAAGAGAACTGAAAAGATAAAACTTGAAAATATATTCTACATATTAATTTCGATATATCATTGTAAAGTCAAATTTCGAATAATATTAACTAACTTTTGATCCATACTGCGAATGGCTTGTTCCATTAAATACGAGGGCATTAGAATAAAAACAATTAGAATTTTGGCAAAATTTGTAACATGTTCATAAACTACTTTCGTCATAAACTCCTTCAAAATGATCCACCAATTATACAACAATATCTGCATTTCATTTTTAAATTCATTAAAGGTAATATGTTCGAAGTATTTGATCTTTGCGTTTAAATAATTCTGTACGATCGTCTTTAAGATTCTAAGACTATGTGGATTGGCAAAGGGCATACAGGCAGAAAGCACGCTATCCGAATAACAAGACTGCTTGCAGCAGACGTTGAAATCTTGAACATAGTGAGTAAATATAGGCACGTTCAACGACGTTCTTTCACAATTTTTTCTTTCACGTCCCCCTAATGTATATATACACTTTTCTTTCAAGATAGTCGAGACTTCGTTAGATTTATCAGCAATAGTTTCCAAGAACATTTTTAATAGAGCAGTCCCATCTCCGACGGCATGATGAATACGAAATAAAACTGGGATCTTGATTTTATTTCTTCTTCCACGATCAACAATAAAATGGCTTTCTTTCATACAGCGAACGTGTTTATTATTTACGCGTGAACAATTCTTCGAGATTAATATTTCCCAACATGTCGAATGTTGTTGAGGAAGTGGTTGATTACACTTCCATTCCAATGTTTTTTTCAACGATTTGCCGTAAATGTCATCGCAGTATCCATCGCAATGTGTTTGATCGTGTTCGAGCCATTTAATTCTTTCCTTTAAATCTATCTCCTCGGTTCTTTCCCAAAAATAATAACCATACTTCTTGTTTTTACGATAAAGTATTTTTTCGAAAGGTGAACCAATTAATCGATCTTTAATTAAATGTCTAAAGCTTTCTAAGACGTTCGAATTAACTTGAAATTGATCCTTCTCCAAAACTACTAGAACGTTTATGACAGAAAGGGCAGAAGGTTCTTCTATAGCCCAAATGCAATCGGTGCCATCCAAGAGACCAATGAATCTGTCTTTTAATTGATACTTCAATACTGCTTCGACGATAAGACGATAAATAGAAAAGAAAGTTATTAATATCGTCAATAGAGGAATCAAAAGACAAAATAAACCGTAATTAAAAAGCATCCAATGCATATTTGATGTTGTTAGTATTATCAATGGTGAAAAATCATCGTCGAAACTCAATGAAAATGGAATCTTTCCTCTTGATTTTACTTTGATTTCTTCGAAAAATGATAATCTTTGATCTAAAATGAATCATATTAGAACTTTTTTTTTAATCATACTACACGCGCGATTATCTACTCAAGATAATATTTCTTTTTTTATTGGTCACTTACGAGATATGTGAGAAAGAACGATTAGACGATAGCCCAGTGACGTATAACGCACCAAGTGAACTTTCCGTCCTCGGATTCACTGTTCATATAACGAAGCACTTGTATTTACTTAATAATGACAATCCAATTATAAAGAAACCTTTTATTTAATATTATTATTTGCTGATATAATGAATTATATTATCACGTATGTGTGTCAGTAATTATGGTAGTGACTTAAGCTCTAATCAAAATTAGTTAAATTAATTTTATATTATTTCCTTATATTGTTTCAGGCTCAAAACTATTCAACCCATCTATGGTTGATTTTTACGTAGAATAAAAATTAAACAAATAATATTAAAACTTAACGTACAAAAATTTGTTTATTAATTTTTGAATATAAACGTTAGATAAATTACATTCCGAAGGAACATTTCTGTAAAGACAGGGCACTGCTACTTCTACTACTTTTGCATGCACGTCTTGCTTCTTGCAAATGTGCTCTTAAAAGTGCATTCTCGTATACCAACCGATCACCTCGTCGTATTTCCATGGTCAGTTGAGCATCTTTGTCTAAAGACAGGTGTATTTCTGACTTGCTGGGAACATTCGCGTTACGTGTCTTTCGCAACGCATCCTTTGAAATGATAATCAAACTCTTTTACTTGTTAAGAGAACAACCCTACAAAAGTTTTATTCTACCTGTAAGGTCTCGATCGAACCTCTCAATAAAACTTCTTCCTCGTCCTTACGTTTTTTAAGATTCATATATTTAGTACAAACTCTTTTTATTACCTCTTCGCGTTCTATTAAATGTTCGTCCACATTAAATAACTTTCGTTCAAGTATATCTATCTATATCGAACAAACGAACGTTCAACGATATCGATAAATTAGAATAGTTTGTAATAAACTGGATAAATCAATTGGAAATGTCATAAACCTGTTCATTCTTTTCTTCAACGGCTGCATTCATGGTAACAATTTCTTTCTTCAATTTTTCGTTTTGCTTCAACAAATCGTCGTACCTAATGAAAATTGGTTTTCATAGAAATATTTGAATACTCGCGTAATCGATAGTATCTTATAGGGATTACTTTCTGTGCCAAATCCGTTGTACTTCTGTTTTCAAAGGTTCCGGTAACGTGTCCGTATTTCCAATACGAGCATCCGTTACATTTTGTCTAAATAAATCTAATTGTAAGAAATAAATCATAATTATAACGATTGACAAGAAAAAAAATATATTTGTTACTATTATTATATATGTCGACTAACTCAACATATTTTTATTCCGTTTATTAGCTTTCCTGAGATCATCGATCATAGCAACTTTTTGCGCTTTCAAAGTAGAATATCGCAGCCATTGTTCTGATTCCAAAATACGAGACAACGTTAAACTCGCTTCTAATTGATCTATGGTCTCAAATAAATTTTCTAGCTTTGTCTTGGTAAGTTCTTTTTGAAATATTTCTAAAATTATTATTATTTTTTTATGTAAAAATATATCTTGAAAAAACATTATCGATCTTATTTTTACATACTAACTCTCATCCTTTCTCAATGGATCATTATGAAACGTAAAATCATTATTTTCTCTTCTATAATTTTCTACTGCTACCGTGGTTGTATGAATATTTGTAATAATATTTTGTTGAAAAGTATTTACTGATTCTTGTGACGTTTCACTGACTCTTTTCTCCATTTTAGTTTTACTGATAAAGACAAAAACGTATTAATGTATTCAATCTTCGGAGAGTTTAAAAATTCGTATTATTATACCTTATTACATTATTAGAATGGTAAATAATTCCTCCCATGTTGCCTATTTAAAAAGTTTACTTTTAAAAAAGCTGTTTAACCTTGTTTACTTATCGAACTGCCAATAATAAACAGATGGACGTTAATTAAAACAAACCAAATATTACATATGAATATTATGCTAACTTCAAACCTCTATGCTTATGCGTATAATGTTTATATTTGTAACGTTTATCAAATAAATTAATGAAAAATTAGATTAATATAAAAAAAAATCTGAAGAATATAAGACATTTTGAAATAAAGATAATACAATTTAAAATTGGTTTCGTCATCAAAAATATAGTTTCTTTCGTGCAATACAATATATCTATTATTATAAGTGTATATGTAATTACAAGATAGTAAATCTTAAAATATCACTTGAAAACATATTGGTACCATATATAATAACGCGTTATATTAAAAATATAATAATACATCGATTTTATACAACAAAAAATTGTAACACTTTATTTAGTCATAGGACATGGTTCTGATGCATATCGTTTAAAACTTCCATGTGCACTTCTTAAATGATCTGTCAAACGTTCCCTCGTATCTTCCATAACTGCGAGCATCGTTATTCTGGACTCACTGTTTAGAGCATCATTGAAACGTTCCAAGAGTGCTAAATCTATCTGTGGAACACCATCCAAATCTTCGAGAAATACTTTCATGCTCCTAACGTCATTTTGTAAGCCTTCTAAATTCAAATCTTTCGACAACGTGCTGTTAAGACAATAATTACGCTACAATATTGAATATACGAATTCAATAAAAAATAAAAATCATATACGTACTTTTGTTCTTTCTCGATAAATTCCGAACAAGTTTCGTATAAATCTAAACATTCGAGATTATCATGAAGATCTCGTTGTTCCAAATATCTTCGAAATATTTGTCTACCACGCGGATCCGTTAGAGTTTTAATAATATTATCTGTTATCTGATCCAATTCTTCGCGTTTTAAACCAGAAGTACACTTTCCGATGCATCCTATCATTTTTCTTGATAAAGAAGCCTGCATACTTCATGCCGCTTACTTAAGAATTTTCAGAATATTATTGAAATAAATATTCAAACAGTCAAGTTCGTAAGCACGCACTTAAACGGTATTATTTCCATACCTTAGCACAGCCAAGACGCAAAACCTAGAAACATAATTAATACCTTTAAAAATAATTTAATATAAATATTAGAGATTAATTATTGTTAATATTTTTTTATTTTACAATTTTTCCATCACGTCTATATCAATGATACTGCTGTATGCTTGGAAGACATTCGAAAGAACATAATCATAATAAACAACGTTGTGCGAACTACAATATTACGTCAGAGTAACAATGAAACATCAAATTATAATTATACAAGGTGTCCCGAAAGTTGTTTTACTGACAGAGTGAAAAAATATATAGATCTATGACACCGCCATTCAGAAAATCTGTCAAAAACTATTGTTTATTATAAAGTGACTTTTTGGACACTTTGTACGCGTTTATATGTTTGAAATTCTAAATATATTTTTATTATTCTCGGAAAATTACCAATAATAAATCGTCGATGAATTGAAATATATATATATATATAAAATAAATTGATTTCCTTTTCTCATTTAGAATAGATAAATTAGGGAATATCTTTTTCTGTTCTATGACTAAAGCCAACCCTAGGTATATATAACAAAGAACATTATCGATCGCAAATTTTGCCGGCCGGATTTACGCTTACTGCTTACCTTAATCGTAGTATGACCCATTTTCTGAATATAAAAAGACAGTAAAACTTGAGATGTTCATCGTTATTAATAGGTTTTCAAAAAAACGTTACGGAATGTATGAATATATTGTATATTGATAAGATATACACTTTGTTTTTTAATTTCGCTAAAAATAATCACGTGATTCAAACTAAAGCATAACAAATCACATCACCACGAAACGCACTATGCTGCTTCACAGCGGTAACTGAACTTCACTTAAACTCCTTTTCAGAAAAGTGCCCTCTAGCTTTTTGCGAGACATCTTATGTGTTAGTATAAGATAAAAATATCTTCAACAAAAACAACTGTTAATAATTTTTGTTTTCCATCCTTTATATTTTTTAATCCTACATTTGATTATGTGTTACAAAATAAAATGACTCACATGTTCAAGATCAGTCATAGTCTTCTTATATTCGTCTTAAACTTAAATATTACCATTTTACAATGAATATAAATATCTACATATTGCAAATATATGTAAAGATGAGAAAGACCAACCTGTTACATATTTAAAATGCGATGAATCTACCAAGGAGTGTCGTTTGGTATTCTAAAGATTATTTACAATACAATGCATGTTGCTGCACAACGTGCACTACATACGTAATTTATGTTTTACTATTTTACTACAATGTTTTATAAAACAGTATGATCTATATATTATTAAGATACCATATTTAATAATTGAAAATAAATAAAAAATTGTATCGTATATACTTCCTTTGTTCTTATTTTATTTCCATTATTGTTTATTAATTTTCAAATTAACAATAATCTACTCATAAACCAAACTATCGAATTTTATAACTTAATCGATTAGTTCTTTCTCCAATGTCTAGCCAATCAGCGTTGCTATTACTCGTATATCCGCTATTAACCAATAGGATCAAATATGATTATCTAACCTACAATAAAAGAAGGCGCGAAAATGTTTCGATATGAAAAGGAACATAACCAATAATATGTAATTTAAAGATAATTAATTTTATGTTTTTTTATATATGTTTATTTTTCTACAATACACGAAATGGATAATGAATTTCCAGATTCAGATGAAGAATATGATTTGGTACATAAAGATGACTTTAACGTTTTAAAAGAAATCGAAGGTATAAGTTTAATAACCTCTCTAATTATAATTAACTATAAGATTTTCATATAAACATTTATTTTCTAGCTGAATTAGATAACAAGAAGAATCTTCAAAATAATAAGGAACAAACCTCAAAACAAACCAAAACACAAAAATTATTTGGAAATGATTACAGTCAGCCAAGCACTTCTTTTCAAGCAAATGAATCTTCTAATAATTTCATAACTGATTCTAGAAAACAACAATTCCATTCGCAACAAACAAAAACACAAATACTGATTGAAAATGATAACTGTCAGCCAAGCACTTCTTTCCAAACAATTGAATCTTATAATAATCCCATAAGTAATTGTAGAAAAAGAAATTATGATGAGCTATTTGGTGATATATCAGATTTATTGGAAAAAGATACTTTCCGTATGTATGAACACAAATATTGAATTCTTCTTTCAAAATATTAAATGTTTTTTACTTTGATATATTTATCTTGTAGCTGAATTAATAGAGCCGAAAGAAAAAAGACCTTGTTGGAATGAAACAGATGCTATTATTAAAACAGTTATTAACACAAGAAAAAGATTGTTAGAAAATGATAGTAATATATCTAATGAAACCGATTATTATCAAAAGTAAGAAAATATATAACTTATTATTTAAAACTCTATTTATAACTTCAATAATTTAATAAGTGCCTTTTTAATAATAGTGAAAAGGATAGCATTTCTTTACGTGTACCACCCTGGAATTTTATAGCATTAACTAGACCATTCGATTCTCAACGTATGTATATTAGAATAAAGAATGAAGAAAATATCTCTGTAGAATCCAGAAAACCTATTCATAATCTACTATCGGTATCATATAATCAACTTAAAGCAGAAGCAGAAGAAATTGTAAGTACATTAAAAATAAAACTTACAACATTACTTAAAGTACCAATTTATATATTATAATATCTTGATATATTATTTATGTATACATTAATTTGTACCATAATAGATTGTTAACAATGCAAAACGTGCAAGCATAGCAGTGACTACATCTTTTTATTGTGACGAAACAAGTGGCACTGAATTATGGGTTGATAAATATAAACCTAAAAAATATATAGAACTCCTTTCAGATGAAAATGTTAATAGACAGTTTTTATATTGGTTAAAGTTATGGGATAAAGTAGTATTTCATAAAGAAGTATCTACTCGAAAACAAAAGATTAATGTATCTACGTCAGATAAGTTTGTAAATAATAAACAGAATGATCTAGACGATAAAGGATATCCTATTCAAAAGATAGTATTACTTACAGGCCCTCCTGGTTTAGGAAAAACAACTTTAGCACATTTAGCAGCTAAACATGTTGGTTATAATATTATTGAAGTTAATGCAAGCGATGAAAGAGGACCCGATGCTTTTAGGTGATTTTACATAGATTAATAATGTAGCTTTATTCAATATAAATATTCATAAATATTTTATTTACAGACAAATTTTACGCTCTTCAACACAAATGAAAGCAGTCTTAGGTAAGGATCCACGTCCAAATTGTTTAATTCTTGATGAAATAGACGGTGCACCAATAGCTTCGATTGAAGAACTTATCAGATTTGTACAAGGAAAATCCTCTTCCAAGGGTAAAACGAATAAATTGAAAACTGACAAAGAAGGAGAAAGTTGTCAACGCCCTATAATTTGTATTTGTAATGAATTATATACTCCATCTCTAAGGTATGTATTTTAATTAATGATACGCAATTTAATTTACAAAATTAACAAAAACATTGATTATATTATATTCTAGATCACTGAGAAATGTTGCTCTAGTCATAGCTGTACCACCAGTAAGTACTACACGAATAGTACAACGACTAATGGAAATTGCACAAAAAGAAAAATTAAAAATAAATCAAAATGATCTTCTAAAATTAGTAGAAAATTGTGATTGTGATATAAGATCTTGTCTTGGTACGTTACAGTATATGGGGAACGTTAATATAAAACATAATGTATCTATAGGATTAAAAGATTCTCGGAAGGGATTATTTGATACATGGAAAGAAATTCTTAAAGTTCCTTTTACTAAACTAGGTATTCTATCCACTCGTGATAGAATGCATAAAGTATTGAAAATAGTACAAAGTGGTAATTTGATGATTTTTTTCATTTTTAGTATTAATTACTTGCTTGGTTTTCTCATCTATTTTGTTACTCGAACATGATTGTTATTGCATTAATATAATATTTTTCTTAAATAGGAGACAATGAAAAATTAGTTCAGGGCATATTTCATAATTATCCTATAAATTGTACTGAGAAACTTCAAAATGTATCTGTAGCAACTGAATGGTTTCAATTTTATGATGAAATTTCAACATCTGTTTTACACCATCAAACTTGGTCGATTATGCCGTATACAAATTATGCATTTCTTATATGGCATTTGTATTTATCCACTACGAAAATTCCGAAATTATTTTTCCCCATTATCATATTTGAAGTAATTATTTTTATGTTAAATTCTAATAATTATAAGTAAACAATATGTAAACAAGTAAAAATTTATTTTATATTTATAGACAAATCAAAAAATTACTAAAAACACAAGCAACTTAACAGCAGTTAAACGTAATCGTGGAATTGATAATATAACATTGATTATGGACTTTACTCCTATTCTACCAGATCTGTTGAATCCACAAATTCGTACTGTTTCTGGTCATTTATATTCTTCTACAGAAAAAGCTAATCTCTCACGTGTCGTTAACATTATGCTTGATTTTGGACTAACTTTAGTACAAGAAAAAAATACAGAAGGAAGATACGAATACAAATTGAACCCGTAAGTGAAACTTTAAAAATTATCTTGTATAATTAATAGTAATCATACTATACATGTTATTCATTTATATTGTAAAAAATATAGCAATTAATCTGATTTCATTATTAACTATAGTGATATTTATGATATTGGCTGCTTTAATGATTGTAAAAATCGTATCAAAATTCCTTATACTATATTACAAATTATTTCTCAAGAATTACAAATTGAATTTGTTAAGAGATCTACAAAAGTCACAGGAATTACGCAAAATAATACAGAGAAAAAAGTAGAAAACAAAATTCAAGAAAAGGGCATGGATGTAAATTCAATACAATCAGAAACATTTATGAAAAAAGCCCCTAATACGTCTATCATGTCAAATTTTCTGAAATGGGGTAATACGATTCCAGCAAAAATTTCAGTAAGTTTTTTAAGAATCTTTAAGAATATTCTATAATAATAATAATTATTACTATTATAATATTTAATTAATATAAATTATTTTATTAACGCGTTAGCTGTACTAATCTTTGTTATTTAATCGTAGCCGAAAAGAAATTTATTGGGTGAGACAGCGGTACCAGATGATAATAATTTAAAAACAAATACAATAGTATCTCCAAAATCAAAAGAAATAAAACAAATCCGAGACATTATAAATAAGTATGGTGTTTGGTATAAATATAAAGAAGGTTTAACTACTGCAGTACGACGACAAGTTTTAATAAAAGATCTATTATAACTATTTTTAGTATTAATTAATATATACGTATACATATACATATATACATATAATATAATAAATATTATTTTAAGATAATTGTAACTAACTTAAGATATATTTTTTTTATAACTTTAATATATTTTTATATCTTGAACATAAATTTTTTTATAATATCTATTACTAACCGCAAAGAATATTATATATAGTTAATATAAATCTTTGGAAAAATTATAATCTTTAATTTAATTTTCTTAAAATATAAGGAATATATTTATTTTTAAATTTTCATTCAATTATAAACTTTATTTAAATTCCTTTTTGTATGTAATATATGATTATAGAGATATATCTGCATATCTAGAGTATCGAATATATATATATATATCGATAGTATCGAAAAATATATCGATATTTACACAACTGTTAAAACTACTTGAACTATATAGTTATAAAAGCGAATTTTTTATTTTGTGAAATTATTTGAATTATTATAACTGTTGTTATAATTATATTGCTTATATAAATGGAGTATAAAAGGAAAAAGTATTACTATCCGAATAAAGAAAGTAACCTCAAAAAATGTAAATTATTTAATTTAGAAACCGGCATGACAGGATTTCTATGCACATGTAATTTTCGTGAAAAAGATTGTGTACGAGATGCGTATAAATTACTTAACGAATTTGCTGATAAAATTGATGAATTAAATAAAGATAAAGTAATTAAGATTGAAAATAAATTAACTGTAATTGCTGCTAAAATTTTTGTCTAGAAGCCATATATTTATTATTTTTAGATAACAATCTGTACAGAGGGAAGTTCTATAATAAATGAAATACAGTCTCCAGAGAATGATGAACAAAATAATAGTGATGAAGAAGATATATCGACTGCTTTGAGCAAAGAAATTAATCAATTAAAAGCAGAATCTGATAAACCAATCGCTTTAAGAAGATTTCAGGTAAGATTTTCTACAAAGAAACTAATTTGATATTATTCGTTATTCTAATTGTTCTTTTACCAGGTGGTAAATACTGGTGTAAAAAATGTAGTTTTTATTAAAACTACATTATCAAATCCCTTAAAATTAGTTAGTAATATAATCAAAGAATTAGACAGGACCAAAAAACAACGGAGTAGATTCTTGCTAAGACTTTTACCAATAGAAGCTGTATGCAAAGCATATATGAACGACATTAAATCGGTAGCAAGTGTGATATTTGAAAAATATTTTTCTCAAGAACCGAAAACATTTAGTATTGTATTTAAGTAAGTATTATTCAATTATAATCAAAATGCCTCCAATTGTTTTTAATATTGCTACAAATATAATACAAAAAATATTGTTTTCAGTCGTCACAGTAACGACAGTGTACATAGAGAAGAAATTATTAACGATTTAGCAGAAATAATCAAGAAAAAGAATCCAGGAAACAGAGCTAATTTAAAAAATCCAGAACTTGCTGTTGTAGTAGAAGTAATAAGGGGTCTATGTTTAATATCAATTGCACCTGATTATTATAAATATAGGAAGTATAATTTACTTGAAATTTGTGCTCGAAAGCAAAATGATACACATGTTAAGGTATATTATATATTTTAATAATTACGCACCAATGTTAGTGGCTATTTATAAATAAATAATTTTTCGAGATCATTACATCATTATTAGAAATATTCCATTATTTTTATGTATAGGACTCAGATACAAAAAATTCAGATACAGACAAGAAAGAGACTGAAATATCAAATGTGTCTACTACTAATGTTGAAGATACAATAACGCAAGACAATGAAGATGATAATGCCACAAAGTCTGAAACATCAAATATGACTGAAGAAGTACAAGATGAAAAGTAACATCATATTTCTTATAATTTAAAAACAAAATAAAAATTTTTTTAGTTAATTATAACAAAAATTGAATTCTTGTAAAAAGTTCATTTCTTCTCTATATAAAATTTTGTTAATTCTCCAAATAGAATATAATACACGAATACAATATTTACATTATTACTAAGTTTACTCTTAGGGAGGTTGTTTTTTGGACGGGTTTAATTAAGATGAACACTATATTTATCCGTTGAACGTTTCGTCTCTACTTGAGACTTCCTCAGCAACTTGATAGTTATGTTCATAAGTCAGACACATAGAACACATATAGTATATTATGTTCGAAAAGTTATAGTAGAATAACGTTTTTTAAAAATTGACTCTATATATAAGATAGTGAAAACTTATGACTGTAATAAAAATGATGTTATATTGACTTATGAACATAACTATCAAGTTGCTGAGAAAGTCTCAAATAGAGACGAAACGTTCAACGGATAAATATAGCGTTCATCTTAATTAAACCCGTCCAAAAAACAACCTCCCTAAGAGTAAACTTAGTAATAATATTAATAAATTTTGGATAAGAAAAAAATCTTGATTATATTAACAATATTTACATTTGTATGCTATTATTGTTAACTTGTTAATATACGTATTGTACTATATGTATCCCTTATGTGATATTACGAAATACTATGCATTATTCTTACAAAACATAAATAATACTTTACAATTACCTATTACAACAAATTTTTTATTTAATTTTATTTCAATTGTAATAATTATTGCTTTAGTACATATGTAATAACAATACATAATTATTTTGTATAAAATAAAACATATTCATTTATTTTACGTATTAATATAAACTTCCAAGGGCTCCAATTTTAAAAACACCGATTTTATTAAAACTACATAGTCGTAGGGGTCCATTAGAGAGTGAAGTGAAAATTTTGGTGGTTCAATTCAATGATTGAGTATTAGGTATTACTGTTTGCACAGTTATGATCTTAATGAACTCGTACAGTTATGTGGAGTTTTAAAAAAATCATTATGTTGAAGATCTGATGGGATCCTTATAGTATCTATATAAAAAAAAAATTAAGTGTAAAGTATAAGTATGTTATAAAACCTCAAAATTTATCAAGGTCCCATGGTGTAATGGTTAGCACTCTGGACTCTGAATCCAGCGATCCGAGTTCAAATCTCGGTGGGACCTGAGTATTATAATTTTTATTCATTTTCTTATTTTTTATATTCAGAAAAAAATAATTTTTTTACATATTATATAAAATAAAAATATATTTGTAATTTTATAATGATTAATTAAATTTTTATAAAAACAAAAATAAAAAAATGGGAAAAAATTTTATCGGTAAACATTGTATACTTTTTAGTTATATATAAGATTCAGCGCCATCAGCTGACCGTGTCGTTTTTATGAATTAAAATTATTATGTATATAACATAAAAGTGTGTTGGAGTACAGCTTCCATTTGTTTAGTGGCGGTTAAATTAGTGAGAACATAAGATTTAAATGGGTGTGTACTATTGTCAAAATCGAACAATTAATACGAATTGCATACATTTTTGTTTAAATCATATTTTGATTATATTCATATTTGAAATAATTAACTGAATTGTAAAAACGTAAGTATTTTCTTATTAAGATATAACCTCATAGTCACAAATTGTTAGCAACATTATTATAACAAATTTATCCATTACACAAAATTGGACATCGAAATGAGATTGTGAATCATAATATATACTTAATTGTTACAGTGAATGTGTGTGTGTGTGTGTATACAAGGAACAGAATAAATTCAAAATGAGTGCGCGTCTTTTAAAAGATCCTGCTACTGTTAGTAGTCGGATATTTGTTGGACATCTACAAACAGATGATATGACAAAACACGAATTAGAAGAACACTTTTCAAAATATGGAACTATTGTGGGATCACTCATTAATCGAGGATTTGGTTTTGTTCAATTTGAGGAAGAACAGTCTGCTCAGAAAGCTATTCAAAATGAAAATGGAGCAATGTTTAAAGGCAGAAGAATAGGTAAAGAAGACATTTGTTCATCTATTATTCTTCTACATTTTAACACGTTGTCTAAATCTTGTTTTGTAACTTATTTTAAATCATCAAATTCATCTTTATAGATGTGAGACCTGCCAAAAAAGATTCGCAATCTGGTAACAATAATACAGGAGGAGGAGGAGGAGGAAATAATAGCGGAGGAATAAATAATCCTGGAAGTATAGGTGCTTCTAGTATAGGTACTGTTGGTAGTGGACCAGGAAAACCACTGGGTAGTTCTAACAATCAATTCGGTAGCACAAATAATCATTTTAACAATGCAAATGACTCCTTCGGTAGTGGAAATCCGAGCTTTAGTAGTGGAAATCAAGGATTTAATAATTCAAATCCGAATCTTCCAAACGATAATCAATTTATTGGTAATTTAAAAGGTAACAATTCTGTAACAAGTCCATTCATTGATGGAAATCAGAGCAGAGATAGTACAAATGATCAATTTGGCAATTTGAATCAACTTCGAGGGAATAATAATGATCAATTTAATAATAGTCAAAATAGAAACAGCAATCAGTTTGGTCCTGGTAATCAAAACAGAAGCGGAACTGAACCGTTTGGTAGCGGTCCAGGTAATCAGAATAGAGGCAGTACTAATCTGTTTGGTCTTAATACAAATCAAAATAGGCCAGGCAGCAACCAAAATCGGAATCAAAATATATCTGGTGGTAATCAAAATTCAGGCAGTGGAGGTGGAGGAGGGACTACTCCTGGTGGTGGTGGTGGTAGATTGCGAGGAACTAGAGGAGGAAAAAATAGAAACAAAAATAGAGATAATTCATCTGGGAATAATTTTAGAGATCGTAGTCCAATTAATAGAAGTAATCGTATAGATGATAAAACTGGTCGTGATTGGGATCATAAACCAAACGACAGATTACGTAGCAATGCTTTTGGAGGAAGAGACTCTTTTAATGATAGTAACTCTCGTTATGATGATTTCAAAAATTCTGGCCCTCGGGATATGAATATTAACTTTGGGTAAAAATCTTTTGTAAAAATATCAATGCTAAAAGTAAAGTAGCATTTTACATAAATATGTATTTTTTAGAAACAGTTCAAATTCAGATTATCCAACAATTGCAGCTGAAAAAAATGACTGTGAAATTATAGTAGTTAATAAAGCATTAACGTAAGTTGTTCATGTTTATTACTGATAAATGCTTTTTACATGTTTTATAAACAGATTAAATATATTTATAGAGAATATGCAGAAGCTATCGAAATGCGTTTAAAAAAAGTAGGTTTAACTGTAGATCTATTATTTCCAAATGAAGATGTTCTTTTGAGTCGTGTTCTTGGAAATATAGCAAGTCGTGGTTGTTTGTATGCTGTAGTGGTAACACCTATTAATCAAGAACATCATTCTCTCACGCTTAACATCTTACATGGTTTACCTCAAGGTAACTAATTTTGGTTGTTTAATTCTTTAAACTCTATACGTATATACAATATTTAAATAATTTGAATTGGTTTATAGAACACAGGAATATGCCTGTTGAAGATGCTATTAATTTAATATCAAGGGATTTTGCTAATTACAAAGCAGGAGGTCGTTCAGTTCCTCTTAATACACCTCTTACAATGGAACGTCATCCTGACGCCATCCAAGTTCTTTTAAATATGTTGGCAGATAATCGTCAATTGACTGTATTACAATATGACAGAGTCATAAAATACCTAGAAGTTAAAAGAGAAGAACAAGTACAAGTAGAATTGGGCGATGCAAAAGATTTACCAGCTACAACAACATTGACAGTTAACGATCCAAAGCAAGCTGAGCTACAATCGAGAATACTTAATATTTTGAATAGTAATAAAAGCAACTCGTCAGCTCCAGTACCAAGTCCAGTTCCAGCGCCGACGCCAGCACCAGCTCCTGTCCCTCCGGCTAATTGGGGAACAGGTAAAAGTTATAGAATTACACTGATAAACTTGCAATTCTATATATATTATTACACTATATATATTATTTGATACTCCAATAATTTTTGTAATATAAATTTTATTGGTGTGATAGTATCAATAAATCAGGATAGTTCAACATTATTTTATATGTTAAATCAAATATCTAATAGATATCCCATCATTAATTTTTGCTAGCAGCAAATATTAAAATTATGTTATTTATTTATTATAATTTTCTTCATTTTAATATTAACTTATTTGACGAACAGCTTTCTGTCAGATTTATATCGACACATTTAATACAGTACACTGAAGCATAGGCTTATTTTTAGTGCTAGTATTTTACAGTAAGACTGTTATATTAAGTTTTCTCTAATGATTATATAAAGGAGTCTATTTCCTTTATTGTACTGCGGTACAAATCATGTATATTGCACATTAGATTTATGAAATTTTTCATATACTATGGAAGATAATTCCTACGTAGCATGCGTCGAAACTTATCTTCTCTTTATTCTGAAACTGCGTATACGGATTTTTGCTATGCATTTTCCGTTCTTTTTTTATTCGTGAATAAAACTTCTTTTGAGGAAGTTATTTACGTGCGCGTTCTTACGTACAATTACGATTGTTCTTAATCAGAACGAACGAACTTCGTACGCTTTGAAATAAATTTAGTGTAAAGTGGTGTTTTGTGAAATTGCGGCACAGTGTGATCAAAGCGAACGAACTTCAAATCATACTTTGTCTGGGCTTGTACCCACCAACTTCATGAACACATCATATTATGCCAGCAGCATCAACAAATGCCACATCAGCATCAACGACTTCAACAACTACTACGGGAGTTTCACCATCGCCACTATTAAATGATCCAACGGTTCAAAAGGCTCTTGACAGTTTGTTACAAGGCAATTTGCTCAAGAGCATTGGTGATCAACAACCACCATCACCAGCAGTAGCAGTAGCAGCAGCAGCAGCACCAACACCTCTTTTTGCAGCTTTTCCTAATATTGGACGTTTCTAATTAGCATTACAGTAATTCATGATTTAATCACTCGAATGACTTCGTTCTTAATCACTCATTTTTTGCTACATTATTCAATGATAAATATTGCACACTTTATAAAAATCGTAGAAAATTACTATACATAGCATTTTCTTATACTCAATACTGCATACTGTATACCTATATTTGAATTCTTTATAAAATGCTTTCTTCTTTAAATTCAATGGTATTAAAACCAGAATGCTTTGCATATTATAATATTTTTATTTTTATTTTTTCATTTTTTTTGTATAAGTAATAGAATATTTAAAGTGTGTGCGTTTATCTAAATTACTCATGATCATGATACTTTCAATCATATGTATGAAATTTCTGTATACTATTCATCAATTTTATTTTAAATAGTGTGCAGGAATTGAATATTTTATTGAATCTTTTTATTATACTCAAAGTTACATTTAATAGCAATTCATTATAATAGCACATTTTTTTATCTGTAAATGTCTCATTCTCTGATATAAATGATCAGAGATGATAGTATATATACACATATATACATACATATATATATATATATACACTATCACATATATATATATATATATAATATCACATATATATATATATATATATATGTGTGTACTGCTACTATATGATTTCGTTATAAATTTAATATAGAAAATATTATGATATAATATCCATAGCTCTTTAATTTAGCATGGACGTAATTTTAATTTTGTTTAATTACACATTATATCTGGCATGCAATATAATAACATTATACAAAATAATCGGCCTTTTATTGTTTTCTAGGAGTAGCAGTAATAATAAAATTTATTTGTTTTAATTCAAACAAAAAATGTAAAAATATTCTTTATCAACGAGAAAACAATTAAATTAAAACAAAAAATGTAATGTGTAGAATACTACATTTGCAATTAAAAGTAATTTTTATAAGTATATACATCCATATATTCTTCGTTAATCTATTGATTTGTATAATTTATAAAACTTTACATTATCATAATGAAATATTAAATATGAACTATTAAATATGAATTTCTAAACTCTTAGTAAACAAATATTTACATCTCATAAAAATAGTTTTATCTTATTTTTAAATATGAGAATATAATAATGCATTTTTTCCCTAATTTCTTCTTTTCTTTTCATATATTAATAATATAGATTTATTTCTTATATTAATAGGAATTAATAAATATACTTACCGAACAGGTAAAGTATTGTTATAAACTATATAGTTACATGTACACATTAGTTTATAATTCTCTCGTGTTGACGCTGATTAATAAGTAAATTAATAAATAAATGTGTATATATACATATCAGATGCATACATACATATATATACATACACATAAATATATATATATATATAATGTGTGTGTGTATATGTATACACATTTCTTCAAGTTGATGTAAAAAATAATGTGCATGTATTTAGTGTCCTCTAGCAAGATATGCATATAACTTAAATAAAAAATTTTTAGAAATATTTCATGTCTTTTTATTAAATATATTGCTTAATAAATAAACCCATGTATTATGGATCTAAAAAACAAAATATATGATAAATAATACAAGTGCATATTTTATAACATCAAATAGCATTAATAATTTCCATATGTTTATAACTAAAGCAGTAGCAAAATAATTTAAGAAATAAATATTTGTTAATGCAAGAGAGAGAAAGCAACTTTATTAAAACCAGTATATAAGAAGCTGCGTAAGTAATAAAAGAAAAATAAAGCAGTTTTTACAAAGCATATAAATAAGCCATTAAATATAAATAAGCCAAGCAATGATTATTTTCCTTAAAGCAATTTAAATCACTTAAATTTACCTAAATAGTAGCTTCTGAGATATTGTTCTGCATGAATTATTTCTTCGCATGGTTGAGATACTTCACTATATAAAATATTAAGAACATTTTTTACTGCATCGATATCATACATGTTCTGAAGAAGTCTTTGTTTAAAGGGTTTTAATTTTTCCACGAGTTGCTTATTTTTTGTAATTGAACCCACGTGATTGCTAAGTATTTCATTATAAGTGGGCCAATTGAATACACATGCAGAACATTGACAATCAAAAAAATAATCCTGCATTATTTTTTCTTTCCTTTCTGCACGTGACATATATGCATATGCAGGACCATAACTCGTGAAAACTTGATCTCCTGGTAAAATTGGCTGTAACGCACGAGTAATCATAGTCAGCCCTTCAAAATGTCTTAATGTATTTGGACTACATGAATGATTGTACAAACTATGTGTCACGTATAAACCTGATCCAGATTTAATTCCTGGCTCTTGTTGTACCTAATAAAAGTAAAAGAAAAGAATGAAAAATTCATAAACATATTAAATATTTATAAAACTTACTGAAAAACAATTTGAAGACATAATAACGCAAGCTCGAAACATAATACTACCACAAAATTTTAAATCAAATAATTCACTAATATCTTCCAAATTATCAATTTCATATTTTTTGCCAAAGAAATTAGTCCGTATAGCTAGAAGAATAGAAGTAAGAGCTGAAATACATGCAAATGCACTGATACCAATCAATGGTCTCGTTGTCATATTCGTTGCAAGACTTAGAGCAGATCGAGCACTGAAACTAGACAATACACCTTCATCTGTAAAACCTGCTGTTCTGCTATCTAAAGGTAAATAATCATATTTAATTATGTTATGCTAAATGTGTAACATATCAAATATAAAAAAATGATTAAACTACATACCAGAATTGGATTCAGCAATTTTCATATCCTCTTGTAATTCCTTTATCTTAGAGCCATTTTCTGTTACTACGATTAGCAGTCTAACAATTTTAATAATCATTTTTATCTTATCTTTATCAACATTCAATAAACTTTGTAATAGTGCCAAAATTGGACATTCTGTCATATGAGCCATGTCCCAAGCTGTCTTCTTACATTCTTCTGAACAATATTGTGCTATTGGACAATTTGGACATGGTATTAAATTATAACATCTTGAGAGACATTGATGACAATGTGTATAAAACCTACAATATTAAAACAATGTAAAAATTAATTTGACTATTATAATCGCTCATCATTACCTTTCTTCGTAGATGACGTGTGCATATGGTTTTTCAATTGTAATTATATCACCTGGACCAAACTTTTTGGTAGCTCTAAAGTGACGTCCAAATTCTTCAGAAAATACAATTTCGATACCATCGCTAGCAGCAGGACATTCCTTATTTTGACTATGAGTGAGTAATAAAGGACCTTCTTTCTCTAAATATCTTGGCTTTTTTGTTATACATTTAATCGGTAAATGGCTAACATTAAAAAATCGTTTTTCATGATTTTGATTATCAAGCAATAAATCTTTTCCATTTTTTTGATCGTTAACATGCATAATATCTTCAGTCTTTGTTTTTGTAATGTCTTTTTTTGCATTTTGATTCAAACAAATTTGATTTATAATTTCTTCAACATTACTATCTTTATCCACAGTTATTTGTAAAGTTTTCTTAAGTTCATCGATTGCCCTAGCTCCTCTTTCCTTAAGTTTTTTTCTTTTATTTTCTGGATACTCACATAATAAAGCGGCATCGATATCTATCAAACATTCTTTATACATTTCTTTTCTAAACAAAGCTGCAGATCTATTTGCATATGCATATGCCATTAATTCTTTATCATTAGCATATGCAAGACTTTTAGTATAACTTTCTATAGCTTCAATATCATCACCCATAACGAAATGTTGATTTCCTTAATTAACAAAAATATATTTGCTCACATGCACATACAGATAAATTAAATGTAAAAGATTTTGTTTACCTTCTTCTCTATATTTAACTGAATCCTCTTTATTTTTTCTGTCAACATTTAACGGCGGTAATTGAGACTTCACCATATTTTGCAAAATATGTCCAACAAGTGCTTCACATTCCTTTTGTAAACCATATCCCACATGCGATACATTTTTTTGTTTAAGATTTAATATTAACTCTTTTGCTAGATCCATATTACAATTCTAAACTGTTATAAAAATAACAACTTACTTAGAGATAAAATTATATATATATATAACAAAAAGCTGTAAATAGTATTAAATTTATAATAAGTAAACAATATATATATGTATATAAAATCATTTGAAGAATAAATTAATACAATTAAATATTTACAGTCGTTAGATTACTGTTCAGTATCTTTTTTTATTATCATTTTTCTATTAAAAAAAACTTACTTGTAATAAATATATATTGTATTAGAAGTTCTGTACTCAAAGAATTACAGCCTATTGCATTGGCCAAAGTAGTGCATGCACTAAGATTAAGACTATAAGGTGAGACTAAAATTACCTCTAGGCAAATGAGAGGGAACTAAAGACTGTGTAACTACACAATCAAAGCAAGTACATTCTTAGAGTAATTTAATCTATTAGAAAATTATTACGTGAATGCTATACTATATATATTTTGTATGTATAATAAAAGACGCGATATTTTTTATTATAAGTACCACAGTGTATGACCTACAGATAATAAAAAATATTTATAATATTTTGCATATTTAAATATTAAAAATAGGAACAAAATTATTTCTAAGTATTTAAGCCATTTAAAGTTAGATCGAGATAAAATGAGATTGAAAATTTTTGTTAATTTATTAAAAAAAAAAAATAAACAAATCTCAAATATTGATATTATATATATTGCAAAATAAATGTAATGTACTAAGCAAAAATACCTTGGCTATAATCCAAATTTACAGCAAGTATTTAAAACATCATCATTCTTTGTTTTTTATATTCACGTGTATTACTTATAAAGATTTTATATGTACTTAATAATGTCCGATTAATGCTTAAATAAAAAAAAAGATTATCTAATAGTGAAAATAATTATTTTTTAATTTATCTTACATATTTCCATTGGGGTTAAATTTCTTAAACCAAGATGAGAAACTAATATAATTATAGCATAAAAAATATCTAAAATATATATAAAAAGAAAAAATGCATATTCATAATATACTCATGTATTATTTTGTTCATATATTGAATAACAATAATTTAGGAAATTAGCAGCCAATTGTTTTAGCCAGAATAAAATGAATTTTATATGTCAAATGATTGTTGATACAAACTTGAGATCTATATATTAAATATAATAGTAAGTAATTTAGTCGTCCTCCCTTTCTAAATTTATATGATTCCCAAACTTTGCGTATAACTGAGTCTTTAATTCGTTCATCAATGATTTCAATTCTTCGCATTTACTTTCCAAATTTGTTATCTCTGCTTTCTTTTTTTCTTTAGCATTTTCTAAACAACTCTGCAATTATAAACAAAATTAATATATAATAATAAAATATACAGAGTATCCTATAATTCGTGATAAAGCGAGCGAGAAATGATTCTACATGAAAATATAAATGTACTTGACAAATTTTTGAACTTATTTTTCTCTAAAACAAAGCTTTATATGAAAAAAATTGATTGTAAATTTTCAACTTAATCTTTCATGTAGAATCATTTGATGCTCGCCTGTACCACCAATTACATGACACCTGGTATATATACATATTAAAATTATAGTATCGTTTTCAGCGATGGTCAACAACCTGTGTTTTTTCAGTATCTTGATGAACAAAAACTTCTCCGATATAATATGGTATCTTAACGTCGTCATCTGCGAGAGTTAATTCATCACAAGCATCTTCTAAATTTTTCAATTCATTCTATAAATATAAAAAAAAAAAGATAAAACAATTTTTTAAATTCAATCAATTTAAAATCAAACTATACAACGTATAACCAAATAAGGCTACGAATTAGCAAAACTAAAATCTAAAAATAGATTATATTTTCTAATCACTTGTTTAAGTTTAAGTTCTTCTCTATAATCTTCCAATTTAGCATTATGTCTAGCAAATCTATTGATCTTTTGTTGATCATCGTAAGTAATATGAACATCAGAATCCTGAAAACGTAAAAGGCAGAAATTAACCTCTCTAATACCATAAGAAGATACCTTTAACAATTTACTTACTGGTTGAAATCCACCTTGTTCATTTTTTCCTCCAGCCATTGTTATTTATTTATTTATTTATATATTGATAAGTTTTTGTTAACTTATAAATTACGTATTTATTGTAGAAAAATTAATTTTGACAAATCGGAAACCGAATATTTTTCCTCTTCATGCATTCATGAAATTTTGTAATTCGGGCGCATGCGCTATAAAACGTTACGCTAATACGCGTGCGCGTTTGTACCATTCATTTTTACAATAATAATTAATAAATATACGATAATAAACAATGATATGTATATATGTTGAATGAATTAATGATCATATCTGAAATTTCTAATATAAAAGATATATATATATATATCTAGTATGAAAAGAAAATTATTTATTACAAAAATACAATATTGATAAAATGACACAATTTTTCATTCGCTAAGATGAAGATCTTTAGCTAACATATGAGCAGTAATATAGCTCATTTTATTTTTATTTTTTAAATATGCATCAATTGCAGTCTGACGCATTTCCTCCCAGTTGTAAAGATCACGGAATATTGGACGAACAAATTTCAATCGTCCCATTTCAGTTGCAAATTTTAAAGCGTCTGGTACTTTTGATGCCCAGCGACTTTTTATGCATAAACGCAACCAAAAAACTCTGAAAACATATATTATGTAGAAATATATCTAGAAAAATCCTGATTTAAAACAAAATTTAATATGTACTTAATTTACCTTATTTCAGAATTCTTAATAGAATCAAGATCATATACACTTTGCATAGCTTCAAGTTTTTTCACTGACAAAACAGTGGATGATGCATGTAAATCAGCTATAAATGTTTTCTTTTGCATTGGAGTAAAATCTTGTAAGTCTTTTATGTTAAAAGGTGTTGTACTATTTTCATCCCATGTAATCCATTTTTGTGCTAATTCAGTGCAGGCAGCAGCTAAACTTTTATCATAATTTGGTATGATCGGTGGCATACCTGGTGTATTAAGCCACGCATTCCAATCCACTGAATTTAACAACTTAAATAAAAATGTCATATGCCTTTAGTATTTTATTTTCATTTTTAATACAATGTGCAATAATATTTATTACCTCAGTTTTATCTGAAAAATATTGGTATAGATACTCCTTCCAGTCATTAGTAACTAAACTTTTATATTGAAAAGCAACTAAATATGATTTTAGAAAAGGTTCAAATACATCTGGACCACCCAATAGTTGCTCTAAATAATATAAAAATGTATGACCTTTTTCATAAGGTATGATAGAAAATGTATCATCAGGATTAATTCCTTCTAAGCTGGGAACTAACTTTGTTAACTGATTCGTTTTTCCAAATGTTTCAATCTGTATACAAAGAAATTGTATTTAATAAATAATACTCATCTTATATATATATTTAATACATTTCTGGAACAAACGTATATAAAGTAACATTTGATTTTACTAACAGATTCTTCCAAAGATTGAAGTTCAATTAATGCGCTAAATTCTCGGTATTTTTCACCAAACATCCTTCCATTTATCTTTCTCTCAACGAACATAGTGAAGCCTTCATTCAACCAAAAATGTTCAAAGTTTGCATTTGTTACTAAATTACCAGTCCAGCTATGTGAAATTTCATGAGCTACTACATTAGCTAGAGAACGGTCTCCAGCAAGAAGGGTTGGTGTTACAAATGTTAAACATGGATTTTCCATTCCACCTAATGGAAAGCTTGGTGGGAGCACTAACAAGTCATACACGCCTATCAAAAATAATATTATATAAAAATAATAAATAACTTAAAAAAGAAATAAAATATATATTTATGTATTTTTTAGAAAATAATATCATACCCCACACATAACGACCACATATATCTTCAGCAGTTTTTAGCATAGTCTCAGTCTCAGCGAACTCATACGCACTTTGCTCTATATATTCTTGCTCAGCCCAGACAGTAGTTCTAGGGCCGATCTTTTTAGATGCCAATACACCTACTGCAATAGCTATTAAGTATGATGGTATTGGAATAGATTGACAAAATGTATACACTTTTGTTTTTTCTGTCTCTTCTTGTCCGCCTGATAAAGCAGACATTAAAACCGTCATCTCCTTTGGTGCTGTTATCTGAACAGACAATTTACTGTATTCTTTAAAAAAAATAGATTTTTATATTAGAAAAAATTAAATATCTATTTACCTGAGCGGAATAGGTGAATTTGACAGATGGTGTATCTTGACAAGGAACTATAGATCTAGCGTGTAAAGCCTTTAAAACACGATTAAATATACATATACATGTATAATAAAAATAATTTTTTTTTTTTATAATAATTAAGACGAATAAAATATTTACCTCGCATTGAGAAAATAAGTAAGGATGTTTTCCTCCAGCTGTTTGTTCTGGTGTCAACCATTGTAAAGCAGTTGCATTTGGTGCCGTTTCATAATTAATTTCAATTGTATATCTAAAGATGAAATTTTCAATTTATTAACAATACTATAAATAAATAATATAATTATTACCTTTTATCATCATCATCAAGTGAACATACATGTTTTGGTAAACAAATAACAAATCTAGAACCATATTCAATTTTGCTATCTATTTTATAACTCAGATTAACTTTATTATCAACATTTTTAACTGATAATATATTAAGATCACGATTATCCAAAATCTATAAATATAGAATAATATTAAAATTAAATTAACATGACATAAAAAAAGATGGATGAATAATAGCAAAACATAATAATTAGAAATCTTACCAACTCATTTGTATCGCCAGTTTTAAGTACGTTTAGAATTGCTTTACCTGACAAAACTTTTTTTTCAAAATCAACATTCAACTCTAAATCAATATGAGTTATAACGGAAAAATCTGTAAATATTTAATTACGATAATAAATAATACAAATACTATAAATACATTATAATATATAATCAATAATACATATAATATACATTAGTATTTTACATTTTATACGAATTTTATAATGATAAATATGTATATGAAGCATATTTATTATAATGTGCTATATAATTATTAATTAAATATGAATATAAATTACCTGGTCTAGCATATGAATTTGGATCATTTTTACTTAAGGCCATTGTATATATTTAGGTATTTTCAATTATGAACAAATATTGTAACAGTTTTTTAATAAATCACAATGACAATGTTACAAGTAAAGGATTCTTTTTAACTGACATGCGCACAATGTAACAAATAAATCTGAAAAATTGTAATTATAATCACAAAGCAAGTTATATCAAAGAATACAGAAGTACACAGAAGCTCACAAGTCCCCTTTTTTATCTACCCTGTTTCATTTTAGTTACTACCGGGACCACCAGTAGGCGATTATTCAAAGTGTAATAATTATTTTCAACTAATTAACGATAAATAAAAAATATTTGATAAAATAAAGTTGAGGAACCGGACAAACAAAAACTCAGTAATTGATTGATAACAAAAAACAATAGAAAACTTCATTGCTTTGCTTAGAAATAGGAAAAAACGTTTTTGTATTTTCAATTATTAATAACTAATTAAATAATAAATTAATAAAATGTGCAATTATAGATTTTACATATGCAATTAATGTACAATTAATGTGCAATTTATTCATTTTTTCTGCTGTTCAGGTTCTATGCCAACTTTTTTGCGGTTCATCAATTAATAAGCAAATTTATAGAAAGCATTAATACTTACTAGTAGATGGCGCATCTCTTTCTTTCGGAATATCTCCTTTTATATATATAGTTAACCCCATAAATTTATCACGATTATTACCAATCAGTAATAAAAAAAACTCCCTATAGAAGAAATTCATTATTACTCGTTCACTATCTGAAAGGCTTTATCAATTCTAAGAATTCTAAACTTCAGAGTTGTTTATTTTACTAATGAATATAATCCAATTTTCAGGATTATCAAACTAATATTATTTATAATTGTTTAAAGAAAGAGGAGGAAGATATCGAGATATAAAATTTTATCGTTTTACATTTATTGAAGAATTATGACACCAATGAGTGACAGTAGTTCACTACCTAAAACAAAAAAGCCATCAGGTAAGAATAGTAATTTGACATTAATGTTTATGATCTTTTTATATTATTGTAAAAATATGTCATGAAAAATATTTTATTTCATTATATTGTCTTTTGATATATGTCTATTATTTTTAACAGATAGTGCATTTAAACAACAACGTTTACCTGCTTGGCAACCTATTCTTACCGCTGGGACCGTTTTACCAACATTTTTTGTAATAGGAGTTGCATTTATTCCGGTTGGAATTGGATTGTTATACTTTTCTGATAAAGTTAAAGAACAAACGATAGATTATACCTATTGTAATTCTAACAGTACTGGTGGTAAAAGATGTATAGATGTAATCGCACAAAATCCAGCGAAGCCTTGTTACTGTGAAATAGATTTTGTATTACCGACAGACTTCGATGGAGAAGTTTATATGTATTATGGCTTAACAAATTTCTATCAAAATCATCGTCGATATGTCAAGTCTAGAGATGATAATCAATTATTAGGAATATTATCCGATGAAGTATCTGGTGATTGTAAACCATTTGCATATGAAGTTAACGAAGATAATATTACCAAACCAATAGTTCCATGTGGAGCTATAGCAAACTCTCTCTTTAGCGATGAATTAACATTATATTCTACTAGAAATGGACAAGATGTACCATTATTGAAAACTGGTATAGCATGGCCTTCTGATAAAAATATCAAATTTAGAAATCCGGATGGTGATTTAGAAAAAATATTTTCTCCTGAAAGATTTGCTAAACCAAAAAATTGGGCTAAACATATCTACGAGTTAGATCCAAATAATGCAAGTAATAATGGATTTCAAAATGAAGATCTTATTGTATGGATGAGAACTGCTGCTTTGCCAACATTTAGAAAATTATATCGAAGAGTCGATCACTCTGTAAAAGGTTTTACCGAAGGCTTACTTGCAGGAAATTATAAGCTTAAAGTTAAATATTGTATGTACATTTTTCTTATAAAGGAGAACATATTTTTATATAATATATATTTATATATGTGTTATTTATAGCATATTCAGTGTCTACTTTCGATGGTACCAAAAGAATGATCCTAAGCACAACGTCGCTTTTGGGTGGAAAAAATCCGTTCCTTGGTATTGCATACATAGTTGTTGGATGCATTTGTTTAGTACTTGGCATAGCATTATCGATCATACATATAAAATATTCCAAGAGGTAAGAATTGTTATAATACAAATCAATTAGAAATCAGCGTTCATTTGTTATAAAATGAAAACATTTAAAATTCATTTTATCAATATAAAAATAATAGTAGTATTCTATTATTTATTGAACAGTCAATATTTTTAGAAAATAAAAAAAATGTACAATTGTGATTGACAATGAATCATTATATAATGTTATACAGCAAACTAATGTAAAGATGACAACAAGAAAATATGTTTAAGGCACCATAATTGTTCTTGTAAGTGTTTGTAAAGTTGTGGTTTGTTTGTCCTGTGCTATTTGTATTATTTGTTCAGTCGGAGTGTGCATTTTATGTTTTTTATATTTTTTTTTGTATACAAATATATTATTGGATGTATTTTATTGTCTTTATAATGCAGAATGTCTTGTGAAATTATTTTCTGTTATATTTTACTGTTTTAGGAGCATGCAAATTATTACATAACAAAAAAATGCATGTAATGGTTGAATATTATTTAATATTTTAGCTTGTTATTATGCAAGTATATATTTCATTTCATTTTACATTTAAATGTAGTTGAAACATAATTTATGTCATGCATTATAATATGTTGGTAAAAAATCTTTATTATTGAAAATTTGAGACAACAGTTAAGTTTTTCTTTTTGTTTAATTTTTTATTTAATTTTTTATTTATTAATAAGTATGTATAAAATATTTTAAGGATATTTTTATTATATTATTTTAAGTATATTGTTTTATAAACTGTTATGAAAATGATTTTTTATTGTTTTTTATGCATCGTGTATGCATTTGTTTAAATGATATTTTAGACCAATGTTTTTAGTATAAGTGTATAAATAATATAATATTTGTCGTACAATTCTTTTTTTTAGCACAACTGAGATGATTGATGTGAATCCAACTACCGAATATCAATAAGAGTTAACTAGATTTGAACAATATTTATTGAATTTTGTTGGACTAACTACCTCTATAGTAACATACAGACATACAATTTTATCATATCTGGTCTTATGCAGTAAAAATAAGTATTAAAATTTTAAAATAATATTAATTATTAAAAAAATATTGATTTTTATAAAAGGTACAATATTACACAAGTTGCTTTACATTAGTAACAACGAAAAGCTATAATTAACGACAAGAGATTTTTGTGTATATCAAATATAACAAAAAATAGTTATTTTGTATTATATATGTTATGAATTTTAGAGATTTATATAGAGTGTTTTATACCAAATACTATATCAGAATGAATTTCTTAGTGTTATTATTTATTTGATGTAATATTTTATTTTTAAGTTCTTCATATTTAAGTAATACATACTTGTATCATTTTTGTCAGTATTGCAAGTAAATAATACTAAGATATAAATATTTGAACGATGTTCTACATATAACTCTGAGTAAAAAATAATATAAAATATAAGTAACAGATTTTATTCAAAGAACATAAATTTTAGAAGTAAATTTTTGTCCTTTTGATTTAAGATCTTATTCTAATTCATAATAGTCTTAAAAAATTAATCAAATTAACAATGATGCAATTTTTCGATATCTACACATAATTTCCAAAATTAATCAGTAGCATAAATCCTTATTACATATAAGCATTTTCTCTCAACTTGTACAATTTCAAATATTAAGAAAAATAGTATGTGCCTTATCTCTGAAAGAAATATTGGATTTAGCATCTTATTTATGTTTTTGAATTTAAACAAAGATGCAATTACTACTATTCTAAATAAACGAATCTGGTAATTATTAAAAGTATGTTTTTACAATTATTATAATAAATTCACAGTTTCTGCTTAAATATACTAATGTAGATATAAAAAATACAAGCATTAATAAATTTTTTAAATGTAAATATTATTATTTCCTTGTATATAAATCCTAAATGTTCCTTAGTAATTGTATATATTTATAAGGTAATTGAAAATAATAGGAACACAAGTCAAATATTGGCGCCATTTGTCATAGTGTTAGGTTATGTTCTTAATTCTGACGAGTAAATCAACTGTTCCAAATATAACAAATCTTCTGACTTGTAACGTGAAAAATTTAATTAACTAACAGAAGAAAATAAAAGTAAGCATTTCAGTGTAAGTTCGTCAAAGGTATGTAAAAAAAGGCAAAAGTTTTTCAACATAATTTTAAATTAAATATATGTAGTCATTTAAATTAGAAATTATGATTATAAAATTATTAAATTCATTTTTAATATCAATCATATTATTTTTATTTAACAGATGAATACAATTGCACGAATTGGTATTTGTACATTGCGTAGACAATCTCCAAGCTATAGCACATTACCTCCAGAAGTTGTTATATTCACTGATAAAAATATGATTATTTGTTGGCATCCAAATCAAGGTTTTCCTTATGAATACTCAAAGCCTATTATAGAAGAAGTACAAGCTACACCAAATACGGTATTAAAAATTGGTGAAAAAGATATTTCAGCAATCTTTAAACAAAAGAAACAGTATGATGTCATTACAGAATTAGCCAAATTAACCTTCACTACTAAGCATAAATGGTATCCTCGAAGCAGAGATAAAAAGGCAAAAAAAACTGAACCCGATAGACCGTACTTGTAAAATTTTCAATTTTTAAAATATCATGTCATGTATGTATTATTGAATTTACATTTATTACAAGAAAATAAAAGTATATACTATTGCCTTTAAATGTATTTTTTTTTATTTTGAATATTGCACATTATCTTTTATAATAACATTAATATGTTCAAACTCTCTGAAAACTATCAGTCATTTGTACACAGTCTTATAAGTGGATAAATTATTTACAGTTATTATAACTTCTCGATACACTTCTAATAAATAATTTTGTCTAAGTATTTACATATTTTGTTCTCCTATTTTGTCGTTTACAAATTTTCAGGAAAGAGTTGCCTTTCACCTTCGTGCAATAAAATTTGTAATGCTTTATATAACAAATATCTTCCAAATCTACATTTATCTCTTTGACTCCACGTAGATATAATACCATAATATTCACCACTTTTACAATTAGTTAAATGTTCAATGCCTAACGTGTCTATCATTATTGCTTCTCGCGTATATGCTTCTACTGGAATAGTATTTTGAAATACATGCAAACATATAACACCATAGCCATCGTTCCATATATCTAATATATGTTTAATTTTTGTATTTAATAAATATTGTTCTTTTGAAACCCACATGTTAAAAGCGTCATAAAGATGAGCATAAGGTCTAGATCGTTTACCTTTTCCAACATAAAATATAGAAGAAAGAAAAGTCATCCAAACCTCTGATTGAGTAAGTTGCAACGCACGATGTGGTAAGTCTTGAGTTACGCGTGGATCCAATAAAAGATAATTAAAAGATGTTTTAGCTGTTCCTTCACGCCATCTACGAGATGGATCTGGTGAAACGAATTCTTTAAATACATCGTTTTCAATTGTCCCATATAAATTCAAATCATTTATCCATTCTCCAAATGTTAACCACGGTTTCATTTGATTTGACTGATCAGATATATTTCTTAAAGAAGACAAATTTGTACTTAATTGTTTATTTTGTATGTTAACAAGACGTTTTAAATATAAATGTCTTGTCGTACTAGTAATTGGTCCAGGCTTATCACCTAACTTAGTCAACTTTTGTCTAAGAGTATAATTATCAATCATAAGTAATTCGGATGGAAAATTAGATTGTCCAGAGGAATCTTTAAAAAAATAAAAAAAACAAAGATATTAAATAATAACTTTCTTAAAAACGCATCTTATCTTATTATCATATTAATTACTTATAACTTTAAATATTAATAACATACTTGTTTTATTCTGGCTGAAACTAGACTCGTTTTTCTCGCTATCTTCTTGAATGCTGAAATTTCAATCGTAAGAATTGTAATCAAAATGTAAAGTATAAAAAGTTATTATGTTTTCTTACCTAGCAGGAGTAATACATTTTCGTCGTTCTACTAAAATTACTCCTTCTTCTCGATCTTCATATTTATATTCTTCCTGCACACTTACGTATGAAATAGAAGATCTAAAATGTAATTATATAGTTGTATATATATTATGTATTTAACTATTATTTCCTGTTGATATAATTTATATAAAAATTTTTCTATAAACTTTTACATTATACAAAATACTGACCTTGATACTGAAACATTTCGTTCTGATGCATTAGATGCGTCTACTTGATTATTTTGTAAATCACTTATTTCTGTATTATTTAATAAATTTTCTTCGTCAACATTTACTGTTATTTTCATATATTTGTCAATTTTAGGAACACAATGAGATGTCATTGTTTTTTTTAATTTCGTTAATTTAACTAATGATTGTTCTTCGCTACATATCTCATAGAGATCATTATTATGCTCATGTTTATTATTATTGTTAATATTATTTATGTTTTCTAAATTTGTTAAAGATATTGCTGGATCATCAGATTCAGTTAAATTAGGAGAAGTGTCGTCATAAGATAAAATAATATTTTCGTCATATTTGCTTTCATGTAATTTCACAGCTAGTCGTTTATCAACATACGTTTCATTATTTCTTGATTCAGGATAACATGAATCATCTGGCGATAATGATAATGTTGAAGTATTGCTTGAAAATCGATTATATGTTTCATTTGAATCTTCCAATGCAAAATTGTTTTTTATATTTCTATTTCCTATATATTTTTTTATATCCTTATAAGAAATTTGTTCACGCCTTTGCTTTCTCCTTGGCGTAGATTGAATCATTTCTTTTTTTTGCTGATTATATTCGTTAGGAGCTGGTGATTTATAATATTTACTTGAACATGGGGTAACGATAGATTTAGCGTGTTTGTTTTTAAGATTATTCAACGGAGAACAGCTTTTAACATTCGATGTTTTTATTATATTTTGTTTCTTTTTCGTATTTATCGGAGTATAAAAATTCGGCGAAGTAGTTATGATTGAATTGTCTAGAATATTTTTTTGTTTAAATTTTGATGAGAAATATTTTTTCTTTGGTTTTATAGAATTAAGATTAGAGCTAGTCTTTTGACTTGAAGATAATAATGGTAAAATACAACTTTTTTTAGGAATGTTTCGTTTTTCATGTTTCACATGAGCAAAGGTTGCTTCGCTAACAGTTGAATCGCTTGTAAGTGTCGAAGAGAGAGAATTAATAATTTCGCTAATCAGAAATTTTTCCTTTTTAACATTTTCATTAATGTTGAGTTTTTCAAATTTAATTTTTAAATCACTTTCCTTTAAATCTTGTTTAGATGCCAAAGACGATATGGTCGAAATCATATAGGAGTCACATATACCACTAGATGTTTCTTCGTTACAGTATCTTAAAATCATTTTACTTGAGTTATTATTATAATTCTTATTTGGCGATACATTTTTTGGTATAATGTATTCAGCTATAGTGTTACCGTTATTTAAGACAATTTTATCTAAAATAAAATAAACATAAAGTTAATAATAAAATTTTGAAACTCCTTGAATAAACAAAAATTGTGAACAACCCATTATATGTAACAATATATTCCAACTTACCCAATGACATTTTATATTTTGGTTTGTCATCTTCGCCTACACTATAGCCGCAATAGTTTCCAAGAAGCGTAATAATTTTATAATACTTTCCATCAAATGCATAATGAAATGGACTTCGACCTTCATCGTCTAATAGCAAAGGATCACCTCCATTTGCTAAAAGTAACTCTAAAATGCGAATTCTACCCCAAGCAGCAGCAACATGGACAGGTGTTAATCCATCGACAGATCTATAAAAATATAATAATAAATATGAGAATTCCAAATTTAATTTTATTTAAACTAAGTTATACTCATTGATTGATGCTTACTTAACATTAGGATTTCCACCATGTCGTAAAAATAATTTCGTTACTTCTTCTGCAAAAATTTCGGAATCATTACCGATTACTAAATGAAAAGGAGTAATGCCATGTGTCGGAATTAAAACATTAGGATCTGCCTCTTTATTTAAAATAAGAGTTGTCACTTGTCTGTTATAAATCAAATATATAAATGTTAAATTAAAAAAAAAAATTGTCCTTTATACATCACATATTTATTTTCACAATACTTCACTTTATATTTGTATCCTCTAGACCATCGCAAAGCGAAGAAGCCAAAAAAAGTTCTCCTTTATTTTTTGGTGTTGTTAACATTTTTATTTGATAAATATTATATTCCTTAAAGAGAGATGATATTTAGAACTATATAAATAATAATAACTTTTAAAATTCAACAGTAGTCAAACAAAGTACGTGATTGGCGCTTAAATTAAAAACAACTTATTTCAAGTATTGTAGGTACTACCCACGGAGTTTGTACTACCAATGGCTCAGCAGGGCTGTTAACAGTGCTTCTAGTGTTTATTATTTCAATTAATTACCTGTCAAAAATTACCGACAGTGAATAAGAAGTGTTTAAAAGACAAGAAAATTAAAGGAAAATATTGTGATAATTATTTTCTCTTGCTAATTGATAATAAAAAATAATAAACATATTATAATCAATAATCTAATGATCTAAATTTGGTTACTCCTTTAATAACCATATATATAGAAATATATAGTAAAATAAAAGTCATTTTGTACTGTCTAAAATATTTGACAGATTTTAAAAAATACAGAATAAACAGTGATATAAAAATATTTAAATAAAGGAATAAAAAAATGGATTTCATTGATGAAGTAGACAAGTTTACGCATAAATGTTGGAAAAGTATTTTAATGGAAGTAAATGAAGCTATTGTTTTTATAGATTCAACAGCGGCAGAATGTCTTCATTGGCATACGGGTGATCAAGGATACATTGTATTAAAAGCTGCAGGAGCATTTTCTGTATATGAATTAGCTGCCTATGATTTACACGTATGTATATCTCCATATAAAACAATGAAAATAAGATTGACATAAATATACGTGGTGCAATCTTTTTCTATAGAATATTAAAGATAAGAATGACAGAAAGGCTGTGATTATTTCTACCTCTGTTTATGCTAACTTTTATGAGTATTCAATTAAAATGATAATGGAACATAATACGTTCAAAAGTTACACAATTATTACTACTGTACACTATGCGACAATGTGTTACGATAATAGTCTATCGGATAAAGAAATAAAGAATTATACAAAACTGAAAGAGAATTTACAAAATATTATAAGTTTTAAAGATCCATCGCAGGTAATTTATTTGTTATTGAATATATAAATGATTTCCTAATTATACAAAAATATATTTATTACATTAATTACGTATTATTTTATAGAATATTCCTATAGATATTATTTACGTTCCCATTTTTATAAGTATTCTAAGCAAGGATTTATTTACCACTCCACCATTTGCAAATTTAATGCCACCAATTAATATACCTGAACCTAATAAAATTAAAGAAACAGAATTATATATAAATCACTTTGTAAGTTCTTTGGAAAGCTTGTTCGATTACATGAATATCACAGAAGACATATATTCGATTGGTAAATGCAGTGATTATATAGCAGACACATTAAAAAATTTACCTGCAGCAATTAAACGTAGATCTGTAAGTATATATAATTTATCGAATAAAAAAAATTATAATTTTATGTTAATACATAAGAGATTTACTAAATTTTATATTAGAAATTAAATGGAACATCTGGATCCAGAATGTCTTTAATTTTAATTGATAGAACATTAGATTTATGCGCTGCTACTAGTCACGATACAAATTCAGTTTTGTCAAGAATGTTATGTATCTTACCACATTTGCCTAATCACACCAATGATATTGCAGTAAATATGAATCCGATCGTTTGTGAACCCATGGTAAATATACCAATATTTTTTTATTGTTTTATTATATCACATATTAATGACATTAATTTTTAAGACAGATGCACCATTTATTGAAATACCAGGATGCTTAGCAACTACTGATAGAAACTTGATGGATATCTTAATCTCAAAAAAACAGCAAGCTGTTCTTTTAACTGCAAATCATTTACTTCAAACTATTTTAACCACAAAAGAAAGTCCAAAATCTAAGATAACTACAAGAGTTTCCGTTCATAGTTTAGAAAAGCAAATGTATAAATTTCAAAATAAGAATGAGATATATTCAACATTACAATCAAACAAACAATTACAAGTGATGTAAATTATAATATTAATAACCCTCGATATATGCTTATGATTTAAATAAATAATTTGTTATTATAATTATAAACTTTTAGATAATTTGGGCAATTGTGCAATCACTGAAATCGGATAAAAATATGCAGATAGAGTTGCTTCTTAGTATCGAAAAATTGGTAACACAAAATGTAGCGGTCAGTCGAGATTCTTCAAGTGTATTAACACAAGTAATTATTGAGTTATTATTGATTAAATTTACAAAAGTATTAGAACCTATATAAAAAAATAAAATAAAATTTATTTCAGCTAAGCAATATCATAAAAACACGAAACGACAGAAAATTAGATACTGAAAATCTTCTTGCCCTGTTAATATATGTTTATGCCCTTGCTGGTACGCAAATACATTTTTCACCTGCTCAAGAACAGCTTTTGGAAGAATCTCTTTCTACGGCTTTGTATGAGGACATACAAGTTTTTAATGAAAGTACAAATATTACAAATAGAATTTATGAACAAATTTTATTGTTATTAGGTTTGTATCAATAACACATTTTCATTAAAATAATAATAATATACTCAGGTTTTACAATAGCTTGAAAAATATCGTTTAATTCAGGAGTTACAGATGATGAATCTGCACGAGAGATTTCAATAAAGACGGCGAAACATTTTATGACGATATTACATGATATAGCAAAAAAACGAGAAGGACTGCGCAATTATGTGTAATTTCAATAAAACATCATATCGTAATTCTGACAAAACATCCTACTTAAAAAATTAAATTTTGTTGTATTTCAGATCTCTAGTATCCGATCCTCATCCTAGTGAAATGGTTCAGTATGTTGGTATATTAGAACAATTAGTTAAGGATATAATAAATCCAAAAAGACCTAAAATTCATGATCTACATGATAAATCATTACAGTCCAGTATCAGTTTCAAGTAAGTATACATAATATATTGCAACTATAGCCACCAAATAATATCTAAATTATTATGTTTATAGTTTTTTCTCAAAAAGTACAACAGAGCATCATCCTGCGGATAACCAATGGATATTAATATATATTGTTGGAGGTATTACACCAGAAGAAAGTAAAAAAATTCAAGAGGTAATATCTACGTATAAAACAAGTTGTTCCATAATGCTCGCAGGATCTCGACTATTAAATCCATTGGACATAGTAAATGAAGTACTTTTAAAATTTATGAATACAAATATTTAATTAATCTCTTTCTGTTATCCACTTGATAACACCTGAATTAATCATATAGTTAAGAATCGTTCTTTTTCTTCTTGATTCTGCTAAGCATAAATGTTTTTCTGAATCAGTACTTTTAAATAAATGAATTACATAATTTAATTCTTTAGAAAAATTGGTAAAAAGAATTTTTTTAGTTTTAACATCATTAATGGTTAACGAACTTGGCCTTGTATAAAGTGTTATAACATTGTACTGAGATGTGGTCGTTTGAATAAGTTTGATTAAATTAAACACATAGGAATCTATGGATTTGATATCATTACTTTCTCGATTTTGCCAATAATATGCCGATATACTGTCGATTGCCAAAATAACAATTTTTTCGTTGCAAAAAAATATACTCTCTAAAGTATGTAACGTTAATAAAAATTGATCTTTCTCATAACAATTAATAATAATTAAATTATCGAGCACGCTATTAATAATTTTGTTTATCGTTTCATTATTAACTTTCTTTATATTAATAGATTTATATAAATCGATCACAATCGTTGACATTATTTTAATCAATTTAGATATTTGAAAATGACAATCTGTATTTATTAATACCGCAGAAGCTGCAAGTCCTTTAATATGGATATCGTCATATTTATCAGGAAGTATGCACTTAGCTAGAATATTCGCTAACAAAAGTGATTTTCCACTGGATACATTTCCAGTTATTTCTATAATGTCCGTATTTGTTAATCCATTAAAAAAGAGAATATTATCGAGCTCTGAAACGCATAGATTTTTTCTCAAGCGTGTTATTAATTGCAATCCAGTTTCTAGATTTGATTGCATTTTAATTATACATCAATTATATTGTTTATCCTCTTATCGATATTTTATATTCGAATTCTTTTTTATTGTCATTATTGTTTCTATTTTTCCTTTGTTTATTTTTTGTTTAAATCACGATAAATACATGAGGCATTTATATGAAAATACAATCAACAAAATTCATTCGGAATTTCCAGAGAATTAAAATGTTTTCACCAATTAACGAACGTGTCCTATAACACGCCATCCATGATTGGTGGTTATCAGTGGTTATTATTTACCAAATTATCAAATAGCTGATCGCGCCAACTAGTGGTTTCGATCTATGATACGAAATCTTGTCCTCGATACGATAAACATTGTATACTACCCTAACTTCGAATATACTCGTAGACTATAGATACATACTACTATAGGCCAGGCACGATGAATTAAGCTGTACGCAACCAACTTGGCCGCCATTTTTACATCTTTCAAGAACCGATGTTCTAATACCTTAATTCATTAAATTCATTTGCATGACTTTAACGATTTGCATACGAGTTAGAGTAAAAGAAATACAAATTTTAAGAGAAAAATATTTTCTCAACAGGTTAATATATTCTAACAATTGTATAAATAAAAAAAATTTAAACAATGTTAGATCGGTGGTAAAATCTCCCTTTCGGCTTCAAGCATCGAAAGCGTTTATTGCGCGTGTGCGAACCGCGCCGAGGGGTGGTTGGTCGATGGTCCGATGTGCGAACTCGAAAATTGCGAATTCGGGTGAAATATTTCCATGTTTTTTGCTCGAGCTTAGAGAAAGGAGAGAGAGGAGATTAAACGTTAAAGATAGTTTATTATTTACATCATCTTAAAAAAGAAAACGTGGAACTCGGGAGCTGCCACCGCTAAGCAAACGGGTGCCCGAGTCTTTTCTAGGGGCGCACAAAAACGACACGCGGTTGTCGAAAAATGGCGAAAACCTTTCGCTCGTTGTCAGTATTGACTTTGTTTAACAATGGACAGACAACGTCAAAGTTTCTTGAACCAGTTGCCCTTGTCGTTAATTACGACCCACAAGGGCTCAGCCTCGAATTCATCTTAGGTAATTTATCTATTTTTGAAAATAACGCCAAAACTTTAAATCGACGATATGAACGCTAACGCGTTATTCGCGCCGACATAACCACACTCCTCCCACCGG